CTTAGTTTAGATCCGGAGCTAATGCATGAAGTTCACTATGTATCAGCTTCTATGAAGCAGGTCGGGACCACTTCTCACCGCCGTTAAGGCGCGACGCGTAAAATTCGCTGAAAGCTGACAACAGAACTGATGCCAGAACCAGAAATCTAAAATTAGAAAAATCTCCTGGATGGTGGTCCTGACCTGCGATACTTCTGTTCCCTTATCTGGTCAAATCTTCCGAATATCAATCCCTGACATCTGAAGAGGGCAAAGCGGATATATCAGATATTACAAGTCATTTAACATATTCCCGCTGAAATTATTGAAATCTTGAAAGACTTCACAAAGTGTTGCTATCCCTCCAAACTTCCACATCGGACTCCAGAGCGATGAGCCCCGATCCCTTCACTTTGGAAGCGTAGTTTGAAGAGGTGGCCAATAGATGATCGGTTTTTTTTCTGTTGCTCTAGCTTGCGCTACGGCTACCGTACTGCCACGGTGTGGATCCCAGACAGAAGTTGTCAAACATCTGATAGCTTAGAACCTACTGAATAAGGTAATGAGAATCATTCGATATTGGGATGACACATCTCGGATTAACTTACTCGAGCTTAGATATCTCACGAGGGATATGGTGATCAGGATGATTAGGATGATCAGGATGTTTAGGATAGTCAAAGCTCTGATTTGAGATCTTTTAATCTTCAACACATGTATTTTATTTCATATATAAATTTGGGAAACGAGGAGAAGATAATCTCTCCTCGAAATAGTTTCAGATGGGTATACAGCATCACTGCTGGAGAGGAGTTGAGGAGCAGAGATTTCATTAATACAACTTTACTTAACATTTTTTCATTTGACCCTCAGTGTCTAACAGATCCACAGGGCACGAGTTAGCCAGATGTAGGAAACACGGCACACACGTAATTGTAATTATCCCACGACCTCACACACAGGAAATCGCATGGTCAATGGCCCTTCCCAGCGCCCTAGACGGCACAGAAGAAGTTGGGCTAAGCTACGATACAGCTATCACGCTCTGTCAAGACTTTTCTGACATTGCAGCACGACCTTCGTGTCAGGGAAATGTCATGAAGTAGATTGACGAGGTCTAATCTAGTGATTGAGATTGTCTACAAAGAACAAGGGAGATTCCTATTGAGTCCTGTAAAAATATATACATCGTGAATCGCGTATCAGACGCGCTATATCACGTGACAGTAACTTCCCTCAATTCACTCTATCCCTTGACACTTCGTGATAGAGTTGGAAGGAGGCTAGAAAGGCAGAGTGTGAATTTCCCGAAGTAACCACAAGTCTGCAGCGCCCAGCTGGTCGGTCTCATCCACGCATCAGAATTTCATCCCAATGTTGATGTTAGGAGAGCTCCACATCCAGCGGGGTTTGCGATTTTTCCCGGCTACCATATGCCCGCAAATGGCCATCGTTTCGTTGGCCCGAAATTGAAGAGAACGAAGGGCAAAGGGCTCCTCTAATTGTATGATCGAATGAGGACTTGTGAGGGGTGGTACTTTTTGAGGGGATCTGTATGGGAAGCATAGGAGAGGATATACTATTGGCATAGGTATCCTTGGCCTGTAGGCAGAGAGGACCTGCATATCCTACATAGTCATAGAATCAGAAAGAACAATAAAATGAATTAATAATAGCAGAATCTTAGTAGGACCCAAAGTAGTATAGCAATTCAGACAAGAAGTGAGCACATTGGTCTCAATTCTTATCTGTATCGAAGGAAAGTCACCGGAGTGATTAATCCAAAACAAGGTGCTTCGAAAGGCAAGAGACAGGTCATTTGCGGCAATGATGAACAGCCTAGATGATATAGAGAAAATTAAAAAATGGATCCTGGCAAAAGGCTGGTTTGAACAATTCCGGCTTGTAGGAGAAGTAGAAATAGCTTTGGACGAAAAGATAAGACGATGTGGACAAGGATATGCCGGATTTTACACTGGATAAACAGTGTAGGGGGACTACTTTCTGTTGAAGCTTTGTCGTGGAGTGATAGATATGAGAGTGAGGTTTATGGGTCACGATGTATGAGATAACTGAGGTGCGGATGTATGAGTTCCTTACTATTGTTGTTTTACTAGTTAGGGTTGTTTTGTCTATATACATAAAAAAAGATTTCTCCATCTACAAGTGGGCCAGATCGCTTAGATTTGGCTAGCGGCTTTCGCCATCCTCTTCCTTCTCCCCCGCATGGCATCACGTGCTATACAACTACTGCTCACCATGAAGTCCGAGGATGAAAAGCGTTAGATTACAACACTTTCAACACCTGTCAGTGGTGTCCCCTACGAGCCTCCAGCTCTCACTGTAGAGTCTGCAGAGCCGAGATTGAGTAACACCTTATCAACTTTGAGCTGAGTTATCTCCTCCGTCAAAGATACGCTTCCCATAATACATAAGACGACCAAGACGATGATAATGATGCTAGGAATGAGGAAAGATAGTGCGGAACCAAACGCTACGACGGTAGTCAGAGAAGCCCTCGTTATATCACAACATATGCTACCCACCGGCGGGCGAGCAAAAAGCCCACGAAAGCAAAGTAAAAGACCCTTCCGCCCTCAAGAAAAGCAGATTTCGACTCGTCAATAGTTTCGTCCCTACTAATCTATACCTCCGAATCTACTAGCCAGGAGGGCATCTGAAGTACATAAGTTACTCGACGACCCCACGTCCGTAACAACTTTTGGATGCTAGGCTAGGCTCCTTCATGACAGTTACTCTCGACCAAGACTTTTCTAACATCCTTTCATGACATTCGGTTTGTCCTGCGGCATGAATGAAGTAAGGAGTAAGGAGGAGGCTAGGAAGGTTGAGAGACGCTCTTAGATATACATAAGTCTGCTGCATCCGGCTGGCCGGCCTCTTCGTCATAGGAGAGCCCCGCACGCAGTGGCTTTTGAGACTTTTCCCTGCAGCTACACACCCGCAAATGGCCGTCGTTTCGTTGGCTAGAGAGGGGAGATAATGACGGGATAACGGCTCCTCTTGGTATGTACTCGAATGAAGACCTATGGGGGTATTACTGCTGAAAAGAAGTCGTGAGGGAGGCAATGGAGGGAGTACACTACCCGAGGCATAGATACTCCCGGCCTGTAGGCAGAAAGGACCTACATGTCCTGACATAGTTATAGACTTTTTAAGACAATAAAGACTCACTCACTCATTCGGGTAAGACAAATTGGTCATATCAAAAATTTGATAAAACATCATTTATTGCATGGCCTAGTGTGACGCGTCATCAACAAAAATACCCCTGATGTTAGCCACATGTGGTCAAAATGTATGCTTGTCACCTAAAGGAATGTCCTACATGCATTGAGAGATCAGAACAGGGTACTAAATACCAACCATCGGACATGAATACTGTCTCGGCTCAACTCATCCGTCAAAGAAGTAATGGCCGTGAGGTTTATGAACCCTGAAGTTGGGCAAAGTTGAACTAATGTTAGCTTACTAACCCTCTCACAGGATAACGCAGCGGACGCACTTGAATGAAAATAGATCCCGAATAACAAAAGCAGTCAGTTTTTCCAATTCACGGTGGTGAAAGCATTCTATCATCACGATTAATATTATTTTCATTTCCTGAACATATCTCAGCGCTTCAACTCCAGTACATCATGTCGCTCTCTAATAAAATGGAGAAATACCTTGCACAACATCCATTGGAACGAATTCTGAAAAACTTTCGGGGTTTATATTCTTGCTACTCCACCACACCTTGCCACACGGTCTTTGCGTTGCCTAAAGATTCTGAGACGCACCTAGACCCTATCAGAAACTTGATTGAAAATTTTACAAACTATATTCGCCGCGCACCATTGTTGCCCGATAATACAAGTAATATTGAGTCCCGACTCATCAAGCTCAGCTACCGGATTGAGTCTACTACATTTGACTTGTCTCCGTTCGAACCTCTGGCGTCACTTATCCTATCAAATGCCACGGACATAGAGGTGTGGAAATCTCTCTTGCGGCTTCTCGATACGCTTGAGTCTATTCTAGCATACCAAGAGGAAAAGGAGGAGAAAGAGAAAAATATCGTGGCTGAATCGGTTTTCAGGCGTGCAGCTACCACACAAGCAAGCAAAGATCTGAAACTGGAAGAATTGAAAGAGCTGCTTCGCAGGGAACTACATGGCTCTGTGTTCATGAATGTGCAAGGATTTTGGAAAAAATATTTTACAAACAAAACTTGGGAGAAAAATTGCATCGACCTTGCCAAAGATTTCGTGAAGCGCTCCGGGAAAGAAGATTCGAAGTTTCCTGCTCACCCAAAGGATAAGTTGGTTTATAACTGGATGAAAACGGTTGAAATCAAAATATTCGACCAATCCTGCAAGTATTACGATGTCTCGACGCCGGCATCAAGTTCAAAGACTGAGGTAGAAGAGCGCTTTCCCAACAAGAGCCAGTTCAACGCAGGCAATGCCAACGAATTTGATGGTGGTCAAACAATCAGACAAGTCGTCTATTTCATCAAGCGACGGGGACTGCCCACGTCTGATCGACACCATTGGCGTGATGTACTGGTGGTCGGAGAGTTTACAGAATCCAAAACAAATGTGTTCATGGACAAGTTTCTCCAGCTTTCGGTATCGATGTGCGAGCTCTTTTTTGCCCAGCCCCTTCGACGGTTCGCCCATGCATTCCACCTTTTCGATAAGTCACTTCTGCTCTAGGTCTACGATCGGTCAGGCCCATACTGCGGCTCGTACATTGACATTGGCAAATCGCTGCAGACGCTCGTCTATGTAATGGCGGCGTACATGTCGATGAGCGACGCCGAACTTGGTCTGGACCCAAACATCAAATACGAGGCTCATCAGATCTGTGTCACGTTGGATGTTCCTGGCACGGAGGAGGAGCGAGAATTCAAGCTTTCGCCCAAGCCAGTTGCGCAAAAAACTTCACTTGTCTCGAGGGGAACCAGCTGCTACCACACCTTGGAAGGGGACTGTGCAGTGAAGTTCGCTTGGAGAATGTGCGGGAACAAGTCGGAGGCTAAGCTACTCAAGATTGCAAAGGACGTGGATGGGCTGGCAAAGCTTGCTGGATCGTGGGACTTTGTGAAGATTAGCGATCTTCGAAAGGGACTGATATTCACCAACAAGATGGTGAAAAACACGCTTCCGGACGACACGACCATGGCCATACCGCTCGCACTTACTGATGGCGTCATGTTACGTGAAAGCAAGAGCACAAGTGTAGCTGGGTCACGAAAAAGTAAGAGTGCAACAAGAGATTCAGGAACTGAGACAGGTCGGTCAAGTAAGAGATTAAAGACTTCGTATGGATGTAAGAGATTCCTTTGATTCCATCTGGAAAAACCTACTTTTAACGAACAAGCATCGTATGCCAGAAGCACCGGTACGAAAGGAATATCAAACGTGTCATTGAACGCTGTTACGGTTTGACCGTTGTTTTAGCTTAGGAGGAAACCTAAGCGTTTAATTAGGAATAATTACGATAAGACTGAAAGAGGAAGGATGGGCAAATAGAGATGAAATATCACTACTAGCCAGGAGGTCGAAGCAACATCATAGCGTAATGGCTCCTGATAATACTTGGCTCAGTAGCAAGTATTAGGCCTAGGGGGAAGTTATCAGTCAGCAGATTCACGAAGCGGACCAAACGTTATAAGTACCTGTTAGTAGTAGCTAGAAATTTCTTTCCTCTTCATATAGTTTAATAAATCGATTTATTCATTACCAACTCGGTTTCTGTCACAAATGCAATCATCGAAGAAGATGAAACAATTGTCCCAGTAGCATGGATCCAGGACAAGACTGAAGGCACCAACGATGCAAACACAGCGTCTACTGGGGAGAAACGGAAGAGCACAGAGAACGATGAAGTCAGCGGACGGATCAAGAGATTGCACCTTTCAACTGCAGTGGAAGATGCGTCTATTGCGATTTATGCTAAACCTGGTGGTGTAGTTGATCACAGTTTGAGAGTATGCTCTGAGTTGCAATGGTGGCTTGTTATGGATGCGATTGCGACAATACAGTTGAGGGTGGTATGAAAGTTGGCACTTCAATGGGTCTCAATTGTGTGGGGATTAATTTAATCACTGATGATAATTATGTTATTGTACTATCTACAAAGAATGTGTTACAGTTCTATGTGTGCCAGTAATCGCTTAGATCTGGCTAGTGGGTTGACCACTCTTTTACTTCACTCCCATGTTCTATCACGTGAGGTAGTATAACTGCTCACCACGAAGTCCGCAGATTTGAATAGCGTTAGATCACAACACTTCCCCTCGCTTTGCACATCTGATATGATCTGAAAGTCGGTGATGTATAGATTTAACGAGAGACTTGGTGAGTAGATCGGCAAGGTTATTAGCTGATTTCACGTGGAGAAGTTCAAATTCTCCTTCGTTAAACTTCTCACGAACGTAATGATAATGTACGTCGATATGTTTTGAACGACCGTGAATCCGCGGGTTTCTTGCAAGTTCTTGGGCTCCATTGTTATCAGTGTAGAGCATTGTGTCATACTCTTGGCGCAGTTGTTTTAACCCAAATTTTGTCCAGGTAGTCTGGCGTGCAGCTAGTGACATGGCCATATATTCGGCTTCTGTAGTTGATAATGCCACAGATCGCTGTTGTTTGCTGCTCCATGATATTGCAGCATTGCCTAGGCGAATTACATATCCTGATGTGGATCTTCGAGTATGAGGATCGTCAGCATAGGATGCGTCGGCATACACCTCGAGTACCCTGCTGGTTCCATGCGGGTAAAACAAATCCCAATCGGTTGTTCCAGCTAGATATCGAAGAGTTCGTTTGGCGGCTCGCAAATGACTTTCGTTTGGGCAAGATGAAAACTGGCTTAAGAGTGTGACAGTGTAGGCTAGATCAGGGCGACTCCCTATGACAAGATACATAAGGGATCCAACTATGGCTTGATATTCTTTTATATTTCCGAGACGTTCCTCTTCAGTGCCTTTGAAAAGGGTGACGTTTGGATCGAGAGGAGTACTTACTTTGTGAGCAAGTGTAAGGCCAAAGCGTTCTAGAATCTTCTTTGAGTAACCTTGTTGAGAGAGTCGGATACCTGTTTTTTCTAGTTTAATCTGTAGTCCAAGGATATAATGAGCATTTCCTAAGTCCTTGCAATCAAAATCTTTTCCGATACATGACTTGAGGTTTTGGCTAAATTTATTATCTGAACAAAAGATTAGTATGTCGTCAACGTATATCGCTACAAAGGCGTTTTCTGTTGGATGAACGAAGACGCATGGGTCGAAATCTGCTATTTCGAATCCTTTTTGTTGAAGTGATGTCGATATGCAGGCGTACCATTCACGGCCTGATTGTTTTAGACCGTAGATACATTTACGGAGTGCAGCACATTTTCCAGATTTTCGGTATCCCGGTGGAAGTTCCATGAATATTTCTTCCTTTAAAGAACCGTATAAGTAGGCCGAGTTTACGTCCATTTGTTGTGGTATCCATTTATTTTGGGCAGCGATGCGAATTAACATGCGAAGGCTTTCGTATCGAGCAACAGGGGCAAAGGTTTCATCAAAATCATAACCAGGAATTTGACTGAATCCTTGAGCTACTAGACGTGCTTTGTACCTGTCAATTGAACCATCAGCATGTCGCTTTATTTTAAATACCCATTTAGATCCAACAACATTGCGCTGTGACGGCCGGGCAGTTTCATCCCAGGTGTGCTTTTGTTCTAAGGAGTTAATTTCCTGATCGATCGCTTCACGCCAGTGGTTTGCATCAGACCTTTCGAGTGCCTCCTCGATTGTTGTTGGTTCCTCATTTGTTTCCGGTGCAGTTTGTGCTGCAAGAGCTACAGCATTATATTCAATTTCATCCTGAACATTTTCTACATGCACTAGCTGTCCATGCTCCAAGTCATGTTGTTCCCTCGAGCGTAGCTCAGGGCCATGAAATATAGGTGAACCGTATCTTTGAATAGGCTTTGATGACCTTTTGGGTCGACTATGTACTGATACTTGGTTTTCGCTAATTTCGGAGGTTTGGGGTTGTGCTTTTGTGTGCGTTTGTAATAGTGATTTTCCATGATGATCATGTATTTGCAGCAGATTGGATTGTAATGATCTTGAGGGATTTTCGAGGTTGGATGCTGTGTCTGAAGCTTCTGGTTGGTTTTCGCAAGATATTATTTCCTCCGGGGATATTTCTGTTTCTGCCACTATTGTCTGAAAATTTTTGCTTCGAGTATCAAGGGCGTTTCTTATATTTGCTTCCCCTGAATCGAGCGGCGCAAATTTGACGTTGGGAGATTCGATTACTTTATTTTTTGAAGGGATCCATATCCGAAATATTTTTGTGCTTTCCGTGTATCCCACAAATTTGCCTTCCATAGCTCTTGGTAGTAGCTTTGTTCCTGCGGGTCGCGAGTCCTTGTGAATATGAACAAAGCAGTTTTTGCCAAAAGATTGGAGATGGTGTATTGTGGGTTTAGTGCCAAGTAAGGCCTCATATGGCGTAGTGTTGGGAGGTAGCCGTGAATGAGGAAGGCGATTTTTGAGGTAGCAGGCGGCTGAGATTGCTTCTGCCCACAGCGTGGTGTTAAATCCAATTAACATTGCTCTAGCCATAGTGGTTAATGTTTGATTGTAACGTTCAGCTAATCCATTTCTCTCATGCTCATAGGCTGGCGACATTTCATGTACTATACCTTCATAATTAAAAAGAGAGTTGACGGCTTGATTGACGAATTCTCCTCCACGATCAGTTCTCCAACGTTTGATACTGGTACCGAATTGTGTTTTAACAAAGCGAATAAAATCGAGCATTGTTTGTGCGGTATCATTTTTTCTTCGTAGGAACTTGACCCAGGAGTATCGTGTTTTTCCATCAATAAAGGTAATATAGTATAGGCTTTGGCCAAGTGATGGTACAGAGAATTTTCCGGATAGATCTGAGTAGATAATATCAAATTTACTGGCTGGGATTTCATGGGTTGATTTTGGTACAATGTGTTTAGATTTAGCTTTCTCACATGTTGGACAGTAGAAGTTTGCAGGCGGTAAGGGAAGGTTGTTGCAATTTTTGTACAGTTCAGAAGAGTTTTTAATGGCCGTAGTGCTTGGATGCCCCAGCGCTTCATGGAGATTAAGATAAGTGGCAAAATTTGCATTATATTTCTTCGTCTGTATATAATATGCTTTGTTTCCCGACTTAGCCCACAATACTTCATGCCCAAAAGAATCAATTAAAAAAATATTATCTTTTTCTCCTCTCAGTTTGTATCCTTGCTCCCTTGCTTTATCCCATGAATAAAGTCTCGTCGTTTGAAATGATGGTACCAGCATGACATCGTGGAGGACAGTATTTAAAACTTCTCCCGTACTTGTCAAAAGGTTTAACCTTACCGTGCCTTTCCCAGTTATGGGGACGTATGTGTTGTTGGCGATTTTGACACTTTGACCTTGAACTTGAGTGAGACTTTCAAAATCGCTTTCACATCCAGTCATGTGTGTTGAAGCACCAGTATCAAAGATCCACTTTGTTGAAGTGACAGTCGAAGAATTAGAAATAAGTGCATGGTCTGAGAATTCACTTTCATGAGCTGCAGCACCCGCAATTTCGGTTGGTTTTGGTATTCTTCGCTGGTTTTTCTTTTCCTGGTGTTTTTTCAACTTTTGGCAGCTGGTGTATAGGTGACCCTGGTATTTCATCTTTTTGGATTTGCACCAAGAACATTCTTTTTCGTCTTTCTCTGTAGATTTATAGGCTGTATTATCTATTGAATAATTAGTTGTACTGCCTGTGAGATCTAAGAGCCTAGATTGGACGTCTTCAAAGCTTGTGAGCTCTTTGGTGGCAAGATTATCGACGAGATTATCCATGGTTTTTGGCAATGAACATAAAAGAAATGCACCTTTTATTTCATCATCGGAGGTGAGCGTTCGGAGGGTTCGGCCTAAAGACGACTTCGTTGTTTGCGAGCGTTGTTTTAGGCGATTCCAGGAGGATGTAAATTTCGAAAGGTGATCAGGGATGCTTTCCCCATCGTTTAAAGAGAGATTGATAAAGTATTTTAAAAGTGATATCGTTGTGTTTGTCGTGTCGCGATCATAACGAGCCTTGAACAGGTTCCATGCTTCGTGAGCTGTGTGGCTGTCAATCACCACTGTTTGTAGATCTTCATCTACAGCATTCAAGAGTATTTTGCGCAGTTTAACATTTTGTCGCTTCCATTGTCTCCATCCATCTGAATCTTTAGTCTCCGGTTCTGTGATCTCCCCCGTTATGAGTCCGAATAATTCGCTGTCTTCCAACACAATTTCCCAAGCTCCTGCCCATCTGCGGTAGTTTTCGCTTCCGGTGAGAATAGGCATCCGTTTAAGGCTGGCTTGGATTGTTGATGCAGCTGGGTTCGACTTGGGTTTGACATCATCGGACGAGGTAGACATTTTGTTAGAGAACTGAATTTTAGATGGAAGGGTAAATACAATAGAGGATAAATGTTGACTTGAGCTTCCGGGCTATAACCTATTGCGATTTATGCTAAACCTGGTGGTGTAGTTGATCACAGTTTGAGAGTATGCTCTGAGTTGCAATGGTGGCTTGTTATGGATGCGATTGCGACAATACAGTTGAGGGTGGTATGAAAGTTGGCACTTCAATGGGTCTCAATTGTGTGGGGATTAATTTAATCACTGATGATAATTATGTTATTGTACTATCTACAAAGAATGTGTTACAGTTCTATGTGTGCCAGTAATCGCTTAGATCTGGCTAGTGGGTTGACCACTCTTTTACTTCACTCCCATGTTCTATCACGTGAGGTAGTATAACTGCTCACCACGAAGTCCGCAGATTTGAACAGCGTTAGATCACAACAGCGTCAACTGATGATAATTCTAGAAGAGGTACGGTTACTGGTCAGGAGGAAAACGCCAGCGATGCAACTTTCATAGCTGGCGAAGGACATGTCGAGGCTGAAGCCAACAATGTGGAAGCCTATTGTGAAGTAGAGATTAAGTTCGCAGAGATTCGGGATCGTCACTCATCGGCTGTGGCGACAACACCCTTTGGAAGATCGCTTCACGAGGTCGAATCACCACTTGAACTGGCCACTGTTCTACGTAACGCGATCAAAGCGCACTGGTCATTAATGACAGACGCAAAGATATTGCACCGTGACATCTCAGCAAACAACATCATCATGACTGGATCTAAAGCTTGTAAGGACTGGAAAGGATTTGTCATTGACCTGGACCCAGCCGTCTTGCTTACGGATGGCAAATCTCAAGAGAAAAGACAGGCCATGACCGGGACGATGGAGTTCATGGCGCTGGAGGTCTTGAGTGGCAGTTGCTAAACAACGGGCGCCGTTGTAGAGCATTCGTACAGACATGACCTCGAATCATTCTTTTATGTCCTCCTCTGGCAATGCTTAAGCTGTGAATGGGAAGAAGGAGTAAATCCGAACAAAGAATATCTCTCAAAATGGTATACGGGGACAGCCTATGAGATATTCGACTTCAAGAAAACTGAAATTGAAAGTTCTCATTTCGTCCAACAACTGTTGCCGAGATTCTCGAAAAAGTTTCAAAAAGTTCGGGACCTTGCAATGGAATTCAAGCAGATTTTATTCTTGCCGTACGGAGAATTCTTTATTGGATCTCACAAGGACAATTATGCCCTCTACAGCAATAGTGTTAAGATATTCAACGAGGCCATAAACTCATTGATATTGTAAATTGCCTTTTTTTTATTTATTTCAACACACCCACTGTTTATTCGAGTCAAGAAGCTGCGTCCGCGAAGCTCCTTCGTGGATGTCACTTATGGTATAACTGTGTACTGACATTGATCATTGATATAGTAATCAGTAAACTGTAAAACCTCAGATGTGTATCTCGATTGTAGGAATCGTCAATCGGTGACGCCTAATATTAGCAAAATCTGGATACTGTTAAACTATAAGGGTCATTTTCAAACACAATTGTCCTTGGTTCCCGAACATAATTGAGTTAGGAATGTAGTGAATGAAAACTAAGTAGTGAAAGGGTAATGCTTTATGAAATCTTATATATTCTGTGTTATTAGTCCGATATCACTGTGCACACGAGACTGGAAGATACTTTAGTAGGAGCACGGCTATAGTAATGAATGTTGATGCGGGTACTGCGAAATATAATGCTTAGTTTAGCCCTTTACTTGATCGACTTTACTTCCTATTCCAATATATCACCTATCTAAAGGAATTACAAATTGAGAAATACCGTAAATGGTTTGCATGACGGGACGTTTCTCTTATCGTCATAGGGTTGTCAAACTGACTGGTCAATAGCAGGTATACCATTCCAACATTATTGGATGCATGAGTATTAAGATATTACTTGTGCAATGCCAATAGTTAAATTTCAGACCATGATAAGGGACAGAACTTACTCATGTGAGACTTTGCAGTTCCGGCTAAGCACCAATGATTGTTATTTGTTGGAGCAGAACTTCATGTTTTAGAAAAGATGATATAGGAAAAGCTTAAAAATGCCACGATAAATCCCAGGGTAGATTGTGATATTGTGAACAGGGAGATTTGCAACAGTTTCATGCACGTTGTCCTAAATATCGGTACATTTCGTCCGTATTCCCTCAATATCTATAAGAAGAAATTTTGGCATATCTCAAAATTAAATATCTTAAAATTAAATTTCTCAAATATATTTAGAATCTTTAGATAGATTCACAAACTCCCCCATCGTCTTAGACTCGGTGTGGACTATAAAAAAATATAATTTAATCGGTACATTGGCTCAGAATAATTAAGTTGATCATTTATATCTGAAAGACTTGATTTGATCTCATTATCCTGATTTGGCGCCCTGTAGGCTTGTGCAGGTGGCTTTATACCTTTTTTTATTAAGGAAATGATGACCCCTCAGTCATTGAGGTTGTTGAGTGCATCGATTCAAGTAACTACCGAAGTGAAACTAAGTACAGAATTTGTAGTCACGTGTGTATCAACAACGTGGCCTACTTGATAGATCCAATTATTATAAATTCTACCATCTTTTTACATTTAAATCTAGGAAAACCTAAGGGTGAATATTTTCCCAGCTTTTTGATGTGTTTCTTTGAATTTTGCAATATATCCTTCAGGAAGCACAATCACACTATAGTGCCGTATTTGTGTATCAATCACTTGCTCTGTATCGACCTCGACCTTGTGCTGGTCCTCTCTCGTTCCCTAACAGCATTTCAACTAAACCTGTCATGGGGAATGGTTTTAGATAACAATAACTAAGGATCCATTGCGTAATTATTTCAATATCGCCAGGATTGTCTATCATGGCTTCAAAGGATCGTTTTGGGGCTTATCCCCAGATCACACCTTTTCCAATTGACCACTCAGGGTAGGAGCTGATCCTGTGCATGGGATTTTTAGATTGGTAGCCACACGGACAGCATAGATCGTAGACTCCTGAAACTTTTCTTCGGAGAAAATCCGAATTAAGCTCATCGTGCTCCCTCCGAATCTGGACGGCAAGGCTACTTCGGGCCCTTGTCAGGTAATTATGGAGGGAAAGAGGGGATCCATGGAAGCTTTTGCTTTGACGATCGGAATGACGGCATTGATATAACTTAGCTGCTCTGCGAGTTTAAGGATCTCCTAAAATAAGTTTTTGAGACTGTCGAATTTGCTCAAGGGCAGACTAAGGTTCCGCCCATTCTGGGTATGCTGCAAGCCCTACCTGTTGTTTCTGTAAGTCCTAGGATTGCTCCTCTCCGCAAATCTCTCTCTAGTAGGCAAGGTCAGCTCTTCTACTTATATGATGTGTTTATAGAATACTTGAGTGTATGACTATCTAGCACATTGGGCTTCTCTCCGACCCACGCCACACATTGTACAGTGCTCCTTAAAAGATCATTGATATGTTGCCCGCGATGAATAGCCATTCAGCTCAGTGTTTACCCGTGGAATTAGGCCTCCTTTTCTACGAAGATTTCTTCCCCAAAAAGTGGTGGCAGTGGAAACTACGTGCGCCGGAAAAAGTCTCAAAAAACCTGCAGCCCCAGCTAGACGAGGCCTAGACACCGGGTCCACATGAGGTCCGCATATTCATCTATATCTCCCTTCTTTGTATTATGCAGGGCAGACTTGATGCAATCCACCACCGCCGTATCGGGTGTTAAAGATTTAAACTGTCCACAACTCTGAGCTTGATGATGGCCAGCAAGACGAAGAGTATCATGATCTGTCATTTAAGATAAAAGAGTGAAGGGGCACTAATTAGAAGATATGACCAATTTAGTAAGGGGTTATTACTCCAAAGTAGGTATGGGCATTGTGAATGCAGTCGGAAGCATCCTCATATAATATTGTCCCGTCTCAGTCTATGACTATGCAGGACATTCAGGGCCTCTCTGCCTACAGGCCAAGGACGTGAAGGGACTAATCACAATAGCTATTCGCATGAAAGTGAGTCGTAAATTAATTATATTCTATATACAGAAAAAAGTACCACGAAGACTACGTGCTTATCTACTCAATACCGCGCGTCACGTATGGATTTATGCAGGAGTTATCCTTTGCACAACTTCTTGATCCAGCCTAGTCATGTACTCTAAGACTTCTCGATAGATAAACCGGATAAACTTCGGTTATAACTAAACAAGGCAGTAGCCTGTAACAAAGGATACCTATACCAGTAGAACATCTCCTCCTATGCCTCCCATACAACTCCCCTCAAACAGTACCACCTATAAGGATTCTGGAGAAATGCCTTAGGCAGGAATCATGGGTCCCTTGTGGGTCCCGTATCCCGTGACTTAGGGCTTCCCACATTCTTGGACATAACACTTGTAGCCAGAGGAAGGAAAGAGATAAGAAACAACATATACTTCATTAAGAGTCTTATTTCTAGTAACAATTGTGAGCAGTCGTTATGCGACTCATTTTATATTAGATACGAGACTTGAAGCCGCATACTTATTTGGTTTCACTAGGCTTTATTGCTTAGCGAAGTTAGTTATGTAGTTTTCATTTCTGAGACCGAGAGCGTCACGCTTTGATTTCTGTCTTTAGAAATAGTTACATAATTCTAACCGCATCTCACTCTCGCCCTCTGCCAACCACAGTGACCTATTGTCACCTCCGGCCACTTAGTCTAGAACGACTCCCCGCGTTCCTCTCTACCACCTCTCTCGAAAGCCTTCTGCGTTCCCATGGGCGTGAAACTTCGAATTTTGGCAAGAGTTTTTACAATTTTGAGCTTTGTGCGTGCCAAGACTTCGGTTGCGAGAGTGCAGGCGACACTATAAACACCACCATGGTTGGATGGTGCGGTGGTACATCGTCTTGGCCGGTTAGCCAAGTAAGGTCTGGATAGCTTGGACACATATCCCATTCGAGACAGTAGATCGCTGGTTCAAATCCGGCAAAACACGACCACATTTCTCGCGGCGCTAGTATGCCTGGTTAACGAAGGCATGCTTGGATAACCAAAGGTTTTAAAATTCCCTTTGGTGGGTACTTACAGAGGAGGGTCGACTGTTCGTGTCAGCAAGCGTACTGTTGGTCCATAGGTGAATGGCGTAGGGATTAAATGCTTGCCTTGGATATGTACTCCAATAAAGATTAATCAACATATCACGTGATCTAGCTCGGGCTCCAAGCTTCGATTTGTAATTTAGATATTGGTGCTTGAGGAGAAAGAAGAGGGGAGAATAGATAGAATGTTAGAGTTAGACTGTATTCCCATGGTGTCTAAACTGTGTTTACTAGAGTGCAGGTTTCCGCCGCTGATCATACATCTACGGGTAAATTATACTTTAGGATATGTGCACGGAAATGAAGGCTGGAAAGCTCAATACAGAACTGACGGACATGGTAGAATGTAGTTTCGGACTTGCGCATAATATGGGAGGCAGGTCACAACTCTGTATCGAACATATATCTCGGGGGATATAGGTGCTCTATCTTTGACTTTGGGAATATCTATAAAAGAAGGCATTTACATGTACATATTAGAGTAGACTTCACAGGAGGGTATTTCCATATTAAATAAATAAATAAATATATATATATATATTAAAGATACTTGAAAAAGACCTTTACAATATTTACATCCAACTGCAATCGCAGCCACATCATAATCGACAAACAGACCATATTCATTATATGTCTGAATATTTAGATGACTAAAGTCGAATATAGAATGATACCACTTGTTTATAGCACTTTTGAAGCATTGAACCAAGTGAGCCCCGTTGTACCAACACATACCTCATGGTGGTATTTGCAAATGAAATCCAGAGTATGAGTGTCTCTAACGCCAAAAGAGTCATCCTACATGTATACATAGCACTGCT